TTAACGGATGCAATTTCCGGGGAATTGAATCGAATAAATATTAATGACCCGGCGAATTGTCCGCCGACCGGCGTCCTTTCAGGGGGGAAAAACGAGTTCCCAGGATCGCGTCGTCCTGTGGAGAAATTCAAATGGGCCGGCTTCGGGGACCTGATGTATGGGCCCAGGGTCTGCCGAGGATAACGAGGTCGACCCGAGAACGCAAACTTCCGCCGGGAAATCTATCCCAGCCAATTTGAGGAGGAAATATCAGATATCGAATGAAGAAATCGTTTCAGAAATGCTACCAGGTCTCCCAGAAAATTTATCGCCATCTTTGCGGTTTATGACGACGTCGGTTGCATTTTCTTTATCTATGCTACATATCTCTTGAAGCGCGAACTTCGCTCTGCATTCTGATAACAGTAATTGCGTTTCAAATATTAATTCAGGCAATTTAATTAAAGATGGATAGGAAGGAAATTTAAGCGATTAGCTCGCAATATCTGCGATACATTCGGCTTAAAAATCGTCAACGTAGAGGACAATGACGGTTTCAAATGTCCTATAGCAAAATGGAAAGACTTGAAGATGAAAGGCGTTCCGAGCGACCTGCGCCCGGGATGCAATAAAAAGCATCAATGTTTAGAACAATTATCGTTGTCAACGGGTTTGCGTTTAAGAATGGTAAGCAACATGGATATAGAGGGAAAATGAGTGTATTCGGAAGCAAAGCCGCAAATCTTGGACAACAAAATCCGGAATAGCTTTCCGAACGACCTAATGCGATTTTTTTCCCCTCTGGGGAGGAATCGAGGGATTTAGTGGAATTCCGCGGATAGGTCGGGAGAATCGCGAAGGAATTTCGGAATTGGCCCGGCCCTTGAGAGCCAATCCCGAGGGAGTACCCAAAGACCTCGGGACTCCGGGGGTGAGGATCCTGTAACATTAATTGAACGAGAGTCAGAGGTGCGCCATTCTTTCTCGCGGCTCGCCTCCACCTGGCGATTCCCTCGTTTAATCGATAACCATAAAGTTTAACTGCCGAAGGGTTACCGGAAGTAATAACGACCTCTTCGGGGGAGTATCGGGTCCTGGAGGACTCCATCGGCGAGTCCTGCCGCGGATTTTACAAGGCTCGCGTAATGCTCCCTTAATGGCCGCGGCGAGCCTGAATTATTCAGCGGCCGGCTCGAGGACGTTAATTATACATTATCGAGCTCGTCAGGCTCATCTGCAACGACGAGGATTCTATTCCGTTGATTACGACGTAGCTTAATTCAGAATGCAAATTGCAGCCTTTAGTGGAGCCTGCCCTCCGAGCTCGCGACTTCCGGAGGTCCTTCAAGAACGCTCTTTCCTCCACCAGCGATTTCATTCCTCCCCTTATCGGAATATCCTGCGCTTTCCACTTCCTTTTTCCACTCCCTACGATTCCTTAATTACCCGGCGGAAATATAGGCCGTTTTCCCGGGCTTTTCCGATTCTTTTTTGAATTTTTCCGCGCTTCAAAGACTCCCCATTTCTGTACTGAGAAAAATTTACTTTCTAGGTGCAATTAACTATTTGCGGCAATCTAAATGTTTCTTGCCAAAGCGACTTAGTAGTTGATATAACAAATTACTCACGGTGAGTAAATATTGAAGAGTCGTCGGTTACCGTTGGGGGTTACAGGAAAAATACCAACATGTTGATAATTTGAAATTCTAATTTGTTATTAATTCATTCCAAGTATTTCACTCTTTGAAGTCACTCAACTTTTCTTCCCAACGTGTTCATGGGAAATGTAACGATAATATGACAAACAGGTGGAGGTGAAATTAATGAAGAAATATGAAAATTGTAATTTGACTTAATTTCATCTGATCTTATCTTCCTGATAGTACCTGGGACAGATATGTATGGCATAAGAATTTCTTCTTTTCTCGATAGTGATACTTTTGCTCAGGGTGCGGGGAGTTCTATAGATAAGCATGGGGGATCTTCCGGATCTACGAAGCACCGGAAGCGAAGGGATCGTAAAAGTAGAGCCAAGACCTCGAATTCTCTGTGAATTTGCCGAATACCTTCTCTCCTTGAATGTCGTGTCTCGAAGAGTTGCGGAAAGCCGCGAGAAAGAGCGTCGTAGGAAAATGTGTGTCAAGGTGGATGTCGTCTTCCTCTTGTCGTTGCTTTCAGGGGATCTCGGTATTAAATCGGACTTTATTGCTCGAACGCGAAATTCCTCTCCAATCTTGGACATTTGGAAATCAGGACCGACCCCCCGCGGCTCTTATTTCAACCTGATGGAATTACCTTGGCAGGTGCTCCAGGGCACTTGATCTCGGCGTATGCAAGGAGTCAAAGGGCGGTCAAGAGCATCCAAAGGGAGGGCTGAAATGGTGGAGTGGTTCTTTTCCTGACCCCGTCTTGCTACGTCCCTCTGAGGAATTTTAAATGTTACCGAGGAGCTCCAGAATTCCCCAAATCGTGAATGTTCACGAGATTGAACTCCTTGATTTTTCCGAGCAATTTTGAATGTCCCCGATGAGTCTCAGAATTCGAATGCATTTCTTCGAATTATTTGAAATGCCTTCGACGAGCTCCAAAATATATCCAATAGCGTATGCACGAAATTAAAAAGAAAAGAATTAGATTTCCCTAGGAAATTTTAAATTCCTCTGGTGAATTTCAATATGTATCCACGAAATTAAAGTCCTACATATTTGCAATGAATTTAAGAGCGTTCTTGGTACGTTTCAAAATTTGTCAGATCACGCACATCGACGAAATTAAAGTCTTGGCTTTCCCCTCGAAATTTGAAATGTCCCTGGCGAGTTCGAAAATTCAGCAGGTCGGGCACATCCGCGAGATTAACCCCTTACTATGCAATGACGAGTTACGTCTGGAATAACGTATAAAGTACGTCTATCCACCAAACAATTCGTAAGGCAAGGGGTTGAAGTCCCTTTCGAAATCGTTTCCCAAATTTCGCCGACATTCGCTTGAAAAGTCTTCCGCTCGAGGACGACCCTTTCGTTGGCAGGGAGAATTTCTGAGGTCCTTGATCTCGACATTGAGGAGTCACGAGTTGGGCAAGAATCCTTAGGGAGGGAGGATTAAAGTGGCGAATGAAGTTTCCTTTTCTCCCTTTCCGGCGTGTCCTCCTTCCGTCTTCTCTTTCCTCCTCTCGAGGGCGGCGTTCGAGGAACGTTTTGCGCGATTTAAGGTGATATGAAATTGTGATATATACATACCGAAAAGTCAAAATATTCATAAAACTTATCTCCAAACTGGATGCACCAAATTATCTAAAACTTTAACACGTTATTATAGAGGCCTTAAGGAAGAACGCGGTGCCCGTGAAATTTCATTTTTCGAGATAAGTACAAATTTTTGGTTCGAGAATAGAAATTTCATGGGCAGCGCGTCATTTCTTAGGGCCACAATCACGTGTTAAAGTTTCAGATAATTCGGTGCACCCAGTTTGGAGAAAAGTTTTATCAATATTTTGACTTTTTGTTGTGTATATATCACACTTTTATATCACCTTAAGGGGACGGCCACATAGGGAGCTCGAGAGGGACCTTTGAATACCCGACCACGAGTCCAAAACTCGAAGATCGAATCGAGTCAACCCTCGACCTAGAGTCGGAGGTTGCCTCGACCTACACGAGGGAATGGCGCAATCCGAGGCCCGAATCCAGCTTGGCCTCTGTAATATTAATCGAACCGGTCAAAGGAGCTAATTTATTTAGCAGGACCTGCAGAGCTCGCCTGAATTTCGCCCCAAATTCGCGTTATGGCCTCGACTTGCCAATTTTCGGGGGCGCCCGGCTTTGAGTCAGTGGTAAATACTGAATTAGAAAATCTGAAGGCAATGAAAACCCACTCAGACTCGATCGAGAGTCTCTTCGTTGCGATATCGAGTGCAGAGAGAAAGAAGAAAAAAATGAACGATGATAAAGTTGGGAGAAAATGCACTGTCAGGTTATATTAAGGTGGTATGAAAGAGTCAGTCTATGTATATCTGAGAAGTCGAATCGTTGGGGAAAGTATTCTCCGAATTGGGTGTACAGATTCGTTTGAAGTTTTACCAGGTGAATACGGAGGCCCTAAATTAGGTCCTGAAATTCAGGAAATTTAATTTTTCATCCAAAATTTATTTATTTATCATGGACTAGAACGAATTTCCGAAATGACATATGGAACACTTTATTTCGTATAATTCTCAACGTAGAGGGTAGAAGACTAACATAAATACAAATGTCGGGAACGGGATGCGCCAGGTAATGTTATCACTTGAGTATTCAAAATGACGTTCCCACCAAAAACAGTATACATGAATTTCAATTTATCGACCTCGATTAAATTTTTCAGCACTTTTCATATCATCAGTCAGTTCCATGAGTTCATGGGAGGATTAGTAAAGGTTCAAATATGTACCTTTTGAAGCAATACGGTCTTATTCTCATCTTTCTGGTAGTTTTAATGAAGCATCGTTTCCTAAAGAACTTCAGCGTAGAATAATTTGTTCATGAATTTACGGAATAGCCCAATATTTACGGGAGTGGAAGTCTCAGGAAATGGTGCCGAGTCTGTCAACATTCGGGGCCATTATTGCCCTCCGCGGATTTATTAGCAATGCCGGAGATATTTAGTCATCGGGGAGCTCCTGACCCGAGAGCACCGGTTTTCCCTCAAAATTACAATCCACCCCCTGGCCGGTTATTGACCACTCGACGGCTTCATTGACTTCCTCTCGATAACTGAATCGGATGATCGATATTGGTCCCGCCAGGGAGGGAGACGGAAAGGTACTCGATCTTCCGATAGCCCTCTGGTATCGGTGAAAAACCGCCATTGTCTCTCCTGCCGGGAGATTCGCGAAATTTGTCAAAGATCGCGGGATTCGGTGCAACAAATAATGGCTCGAAAGCTGATAAGAATTTTTACGACCGCCGAGATTTACGGGCGAGCAGGGCTCACAGGGCAGAGTGCTTTGGGGGATTCGATGGGGAATAATGGGGGAAAATTCTTACGATCTTGTCGCCGAGATTCCTGACTCGGCAGGTGAGGTAGGCCGATTTTCCCACGAGGGCGGTGACATTCGTGGGCTGATTGAAGTCGAAATTTGGATCCGGTTTTGCTTTCAGCCCGGAGTCCAGGAGCTGCTGCCGAGGTCTACCCTGGACTCCGTGTCTCTCCATGGTGTCCATGGTCCGGTCTCCCATGCTCAGAGTATCTGCAAAATAAACCGAATCTCTCGTTAGAACCGCCATTTTCCTTCGGATTCACCTTTTATCAATTTAACGATATTTTGTCACAATTTCCTCGCCCTACCCCCGCTTATCTTCATCCTGGGAAAGGCAACCCTCCTATTCTTAGGGTAATTTCTTCCCAAACTTGATACTCAAACTGAAGATAACTACGTGATAACGATAAATCGCTGCGATAAATTTGGGAGATCGGATCGGCACGGAATTAACTGACAGGTGGACGCCATAAATTCGATTTATCTACATGGGTCACAAATCGGTGTAATTTATCGTTACACGTGTAGCCATTTTAATTTTAAGGTTGATCGCAATCTGAATTTTTAGGTAGCTACACAAATCCGGGCAAGAGTTTATCTGCATTCAACTAAGAAGTAGCTGTAGAAGAATTCGATTTAATTACATAGATCGCAGATCGCTGCGATCTATCATTGCGTGGCCATCTTCAAATAGGGCGAAACGAGAGATTCCGTCAGGTATTACGTTTCCTCGAATTTCCAGATTTTCCAGACTTTCGTTCAGAGTTTCTATATTTTCTCCCAGAATTTCCAGTTTTTCGCCCAGAATTTCTAGACTTCTCAGCCAGGAATTCCGAGAGCACATCGAGCCGCGAATGGTCTCGAGATTGGACATTCGAGGAGACCAGAAATCGGAAACCCATCGACCGGTCGATTTGGCGATTAATGAAAATCTGCCACCTCCGGGGTAGGAAGGAACGACTCTCATTAACGGCGGGCCTCGGGAATAACGCGGAAACGCTAATCCCACGGAAGGGTACCGGTGAAATCCTCCTCTTTTCTTCGCTCGTTCGGGAAGCAATTTACGGGCGGCGAGGTATTACGACAGGGTATAACAATAACAATGGAGGGAGCCAAGGTAATGAGGGTCCTCTTCGAGTTTTCCCCTTTGTTCTTCGAATGACCGAGGAAAACTAGAAATGGTAATTCGATGCCGAAGAGTCGACTTCCCCAGCGAAGTCGCGACTGTGGAAGTCCGTGGGTGCGCAGACAAATCGAAGATGGAGCTTTTCCGATTTTTCCTTCAATTTCTGGAGCCTGGGTAACCACTGGAGACCTGGGGGAAAATCATTAAAAATCCCCACGGCCGCGTTTAATTAATCGCGCGGCAAGGCGGCCTTCTACTCTGGAACCGGAAGTCAAAGTTGATAATAATAAACAATTTATACGGGGCGCCGAGGTAGCAACGGAGGATATAACGATAAAGAGTGGAAAGAGACAATGAGGCTCGTCTTCAAGTTCTCCCCTCGGCTCTCTGAATAACCGAGGAAACTCGCGATTTGGCGCCTGAGACTGCATCTGCTCTTCTTCGGGAAGTACCTCGAAGAGGAAACTAATTAATTTCTTCAGCCCGACTTGTTTATGAATATTTTATAAACCTTGAAATTAATTTAGTGATCCAGCATCAGCGTCGATGTTGATTAGCTCTGCTCCGTTGGAAACGTGGTGGAGTCGCCAGGGCGATTCGACCCTGAAGAAGCGGCTTCAGGGGGAGCTTGTGGTTCTTATTCAGGTTCTGCAGTTTAGTGTCTCTAAAGTTAATTTATTATTCAACGATGAGCGTCGATGATGATAAGCTCTTCTCTATTAGAAAGGTGGTGGAGTCGCCAGGGCGATTCGACCCTGAAGAAGCGACTTCAGGGGGTGTCTTTATTCGGGTTCTGCAGCTTAGTGTCAGGTTTATTTTACTCGCGGCACAGAGAGGTCCTCTCGGTAATCATAAAAGTGTCGATAATCGAGGCATTTGCTTTACTGCGGAATTAAATTCCCTTGCTCGCGCGATGGCTGGCCGGGCGTAATCGTCGCAGGAACTACCCTCGAGGAATCGAACGACCCGAGGGTTGCAACTTTATCGGCTCGGAGATATCGCAAAGTTTGCGCTTTCCGAGATCATCGATCGGCAGGAAAGCGAGATGAGAATTCGTCCTCAGGACTCGAACTCGAAGTGGTTCCCCTAGGGCGGAAAATCGAGTCTCTTAAATCCTCCCTTTTTCATGTGAAACTTTTTATGGATAGTAGATATAAGTTCGCGTGTTACTAAAGGGATGTAACTTGAAAGTGAAGTGCTTTCTTCTGTTATTTGCAGTCAATTAAATACCATTCACCTTCATCTTTCCATCCCAGTATTAATAAAATTTGCATAAAATCTGTCGTTAATGCCAGGGCGTTATTCTCCCATTGCCAATTAATATGCTGACATTTAAAGCGAAGCAAAATCAGGGAATAAAATACAAAATAAAATGAATTGTACTCGAAATAACCCGCAGCGTAACGGCGTTTCGCGAGGAAGCAATTAATAGTTAATAATACGAATTTTGTCTCAATTTCACTTTTCGACTCGGGGATTTCGGCGGCCATGCACCTATTATTCTCCTCCCGATAAAGTGCCACGAGGAGCAGCGAGGTTAAAATAATTTCCCAGAGTAAACTCGAGTCTTTGTTTCGGCGGTACATTCGAGGTATCATTTCCACCCCTGGAGAGGAACGATTAAAATATTTCCCCGACTCGAGGGCAGTAACGTCCGAACGGGATCCACGTAAATTCCATCTGATCCTGGGTAAGGCCCTCCTGGTTCTGCTCGCTTATTTCCGGGTGCACTCCAACGTCGGCCGCTTAAATTAATTTCGGCCGGGTTTTAAGCTCATGGAGCTTATTACGAGCTTTTGCGGCCGCCGCGCGACCTGACTTTACCCCCTTCGGTGCATTTCGATCGGCGCATTCCGCCCTCTCCAGTCTCTCCCCGGTTTTCCTCGGTTTTTTTTTATCACTTCCCCTCGTTTTAGGTCTATCTCTCTGTCCACTATTTTCACGGGAATGAAAGCTCGACCTCGAAGCGGAATATATTTTTCTCTGGGGCTTTTGGAGGCGACATTTTCGCCGGCCAAAAGACTCGTTAGCGCGTTTCGAAGGATAAGCTCGGGCTGTCCTCTTGCTCCTGGCAGATCTCAAACCTCGCGAAACCGCGTCAAGCTCGAAAGCTCTCGACTCGCTGAAAGCGGCCACCGACAACCGGGAGCTTTTGTTCCAGGATTGTTGCGTGTCGGGCACAGCTCCTTACGATTTCGCCTCGTTTTAAAGGAACTGTGTCAAACGCACCGTCGTGATCCGGCAGCAAACTGCAAATGAAATTGGAACGAAAGCTCGGTGCATCTTTTTGAATTCTCAACTCGTTCGATATTTCCACGGCGCTTATTCGGTCTCCTTTGTTAAGGGACTCGTGTCTATTGACATTGTTAAAACCACCCATTTTTGAAACAGGGTAGAAACGAAACATTAAAAATACAGTTTAACCGTGTTATTATTAAAAATACCACGAGTTTACCTAAAAAAATTGTTCTGAGACTTTAAAGTCGTTTTCCAAAAAAAAAAAAACTGCCATTTCATGGTTTGTCGTAAGATATCTAAGAAATGATCGATTTCGTACAGTTCATATTTCGGACACTTGGTGATGGGACACATGTGCTATAGAAATGACCACCAATAATTGTTGGATGTAAAGCTCCTTAAAATTTCAGTGATTTATTTTGCCATTTTGCGCGCTTTCAGGTATATAAATAAGAGTTAGAAAATTATGACAGTAGGTTCACGGGGGCCATTGTCAAATCTGTATATCTTGACGAATGACAGCCTTAAATCACGTGTCGGACAATGTCAACCAGATTGCTTCGATTATACGTCCATATTTATGTGTTTGCCTTGTTTCATCCATGTTCGTATTTGGACGTGTCAGCTTCAGGAGACATCTCTTTCCCGGGTGGAGTCGGTCCTCTTTTCGGGAAATAAGGTCGACCTCCACCTTCTAAGAGCTTTTCTTCGCCAAGACGTCCTAGAGACCGAATTCGCAGGTGCGTCTCGGCGGGTGCATTCCTCCCAGCAACGGGACAGTGCAATTGCATCTCGTCTCGGTGCAGGCGGGGTTACGAAGGGTTACTTCGAGTAATTACATCCGTGGCGTAGCCCCGTCCCGTAAAGCTCGCCTCGCAGTCGGGCAGCTGCAACGCAGCGAGTCTGCTGCACCGGCGATGCACCGGAGCTGCAGCCGAGCTTTAAAGCCCGCGGAAACTCAGCCCGTCGAGCTTTAATTGCGACGGAGGCGCCGAGCCGGGTGTCGGTTGCTGGATGACTCGCTTCTTGGTCCCAGCCTTCGGTTGCTGGATGCAGTCGTCGCTGGTCCACGGGATGCTGGATGCATCCGCCTCCGAGATCGACGCGTCGAGCCGCGGGCGCCATCCGAGAAGAACGGAATAATTATTGGAGCGGAGTCACGTACTCGGTGAACTTTATAACTTCGTCGCCTCTTGTCGAGCTTTTGCGAGCCGTCGAGCTGCAAGCTTTAACTCGAGGAATAAGAAATACTGGGTGGCCGCCCCCGATGGGTCGTCATTAGAGCTTGCAGAGGGATCGAATCAGGTTCCAGAGAAAATTCGGGAAAATTCGAAAGCCTCTTGGATATTGAATAATTACGTCGAATGGTGGTTTTCAGTTTTTCTTTTAGGGGAATTCATAATTCGCCGCCTCTTGTCCAGCTCGAGCTTTTGAGAGGCGTCGAGCTGCAAGCTTTAACTCGAGGATTAAGAAATCCTGGGCCGTGATTGGGACGACTTGCAGGGGGATTAGGCAAGGTTTTAGTGAAAACTCGGGAAAATTGGAAGCCTTCCTGGATTTTGAATATATAGAATGACGGTTTGCAGCTTTTTTGGGGGAGGATGTTTATTTTGAATGTTTTTATCCCATCAGGGACTGAAAGGTGTATTTTCGGGGGTTCTCCCTGGGCGGCCTGGAACGATTGTAGTTTTGCGAGCCGGACGGATTTATGGGGCATTCCGGATATTTGGGTCCCTGGGACATTTTAACGGGGGGCATAAAATGGGGGGCACGAAAATCCTGTCGGAGGGGAGTTTCCGTGCAGTTTCGCGAATGTCGTGTCGTTCGCGCTGGGCGACAAGACTTA